GAGTGCAGCTATACTGGCCATTACAGTAACACTTTGGTAGCCATCCCCTTCCTTCACAGGGACAGAGAGCTCCGGGACCAAGGATTTTACAGTCGAGGGGAGAATAGAGGAGAGGAAGTGGGGTTAGTTTTGCCTTGCTGTATACAGCTCACATGGTTTTCTGAACCACGGTATAAGGAGTCCAGAGCAACTCTCGTCCTTGTGCTAGTCAAAGGGAAACTGTGTCTGAGAAAGGGGCAAAGGCAGAGTGCTCAGGAAGACAATTTATATAAAAAAAACCCCTTTGATGCCCAAAGACGGATATTTAATTTGCTTCTCTTGAAAAAAAAAAAAAACCAAAAAAAAACCCCAAAAACCTAACACTTTCAACTTATCCTGATTTGAAAAGAAAACAGTGGCTGCGAGCAGCAAAGAGTTGGGGATTTGAAGAAGGTAATGTGTGTTAAGGCACTCCACAGCCAAACCACCGCTCCAGCGCTCACCGGGGGAATAACCCCCACCGCCAGCGCACCCTCAGGGTTTCTCAATGGACGGGGTGTTAAAACAGCCAGAGGGCAAGGTCTTCTTGATGTCCTCCAGGTTGCTAATGTCCTTCAGGATCTCTTCAATGTCCCTGTTGTAGGCCTGTATCGCGTCGTCTTGCTTCCTGGCTTCTCTCTCAAGGAAAGACACTTTCTGGTCCAGGTCGCTGTCTTTCATCTGGTCTTTGGCACTGTTCAGGGTACCCTCAATCTCATTCAGTTTGTTCAAGTCCACTGTCTCCAGCTGCCCTGAAAAGCCAGAAGCAAACAGTGAAGTTCATTAAAACAGCGTTGACGCACCAGTTTTGAGCTGAGTCCATACCGAGACCTCCACCGGGCCATCTCTGCGTTAGAAACAGCGTTCAGAACGGGATCAATCGGACGGGTCACACCTTCCCTGCCTCAGCAACAGTCCTCAGCACACAGAAAAGCGGGACCGAATGCTGCAGAATGAGCACTGAAGTTACCCCACGGGGGAAAAAAAAAAAAAAAAAACCCCCCAAACCCTTGCTGAAAATACTAAAATCCCATTTCTAAAAGCGAACAGACACTTCCTGGCACAGCACTGGCAGGGCAGCCAGCACACCATTCCAGTCGCCAGCACTGCCACGTCAGGAAAACCCTCAAAGACATAAGGCACACTAAGGACAGCCTTACCTAATTGATCCAGCAGGTCATTAATGACAGCAAGCAAGCTGTTCACAGAGTTCTTTGCTTTTCTTGCATTGTCTTCTGCCTCCTGGGCAGCCTGTGAGGCCTGCAGGGTATTAAAAAAAAAAAAAAAAGAGAGCACAAAAAAATGGCTGTAGGGATTACAAAACCGTTGCCTCTCCTTTTCACATGTCTGCCCAAGCAGTTCGCCACACAGAGCCCTGGCTCCTCTCTCCAGGATAACACCCCTGCGCTGAGATCTTTATCACTGCGCTGGCGAAGACTGACAACCTTCAAATAACAAGGTTTCTGACTATTTCAGGATGGGGATCCCTGATAACAGAGCAGGATTTTGCAGAAAATTCCGAACAGTCAACAGGTCCACAGTCAGGTTTCAGTTAAAATACAAGGGAAGGGTTGCATTAAGAAAACTGGCTTTCAAATTCCAGAAGGGAACTTGTGCTGATGCCACCAGAGGAGCTCCTTTGCTCATCTCATGTTTTCAATCCCGCTTAAAACTTGGAAGAGACTGAACACCAGCTGGACCCAACGCTGTCTTTGCAAGAGGAGAGCAGGAGAAAAGCTTGTCACCAGGACAACAAGGAGAAGGCAGCTTCTGGCCGCTGCTGCCACCTGCCAGCATTACTTACCATGCCTGCCATCATCATGTCCTGCTCAGCATCATCCTGCTTCCGCTTCAGCTCTTTTTCAGCATCCTGTAGTTGCTTCATCATGTCATCCACTTCTCTGGCCAGCTCCGTCACATCAGCGAAAGTCTTGTCAGCTTCGGCTCTGGTAGAAGCAGCACTCTACAGCCAACACGGGGAACACGATGGAAAAAGGTGGTGATGGTGCAGAACTTCCTTCAATCCTTTCTATTAAAATGCACCAATTTCCTATCATGCCACATTCTGCATTCTCTAGTGGGGAATACAGCAGAAATCACATGGGGGTCACCAGGAAACACCGGAACAGAGGAGGTCACACAGTTACACACCAGTATCTCGGGGGTTGGCTTCAGAAACACAAAGGACTCACCTTCTGAACAGAACGAGCGATCTTCTCCGCATCACCTGCTTTAGTCTTGGCTTCGCGGGCATCAGCAGCAGCATTGCCAAGCGCCAGCTCCGCCTGGCGCGTCTTATTGTTGGCTTCAGCAATGGTCTGGGTAATGGCAGGAATCTTTTTCAGCGCCTCCTCCGCTGCTGTCTTGTTATCATTCACCCGCTTATCAAAATCTAAGAAAGGGCAAAACAGATTCTCACCACTCGCTCCAGAAGAGCCTTGGCAGGCTCCTTTGACCAAACTACCCAGGCTTTGCCACCTCAATGTCAGAGGAACAAAGAGCAAACGGGGGTGTGGAGGGCTACAAGCTTGCAGCTCTCCCTATTACACATTGTAAGATGCTAAAGAAGGAACTCAAATAAAAGATTTCCAGTCACTGAAAACATTTATTTTTCCCTTTAAAGGAAAAAAAAAAGCCAGAAGCACCCACCTAACACTCAGGTACTGCAATAGCATCATCTGTCTAACCAAGATACCCCGCTGCCAAGTGACTTGTCGCACAGGAGTCGAAGGATTCACTGCAAGGGCTTGCTCTTTACCTTTCAGGTTGCTGAGAATGGTATTGGCCTCCTGTAGCGTGCCATTGCCCTTCCGAGCAGCTTCTTCAGCCAGGGCTTTCGCTGCATCTGCTCGAGCCAAGAGCTGGTCTGCAGTCTGAGGAGACATGACATATATCAACATACTCTCACCTTTTGAAGGGCGACCATCTTGGCGTATCACAGAGCGTTGCTCAGCCTGAAACAGCAACGCCATACAGAACAGCGTTTATCCCCAACTGGCAACATTTCCTCTGAAACCAGGCTAATCTGGGTACTTTGGGAACACTGTTCCGATTACAAAGACATCACACCTGGCAAACATCCCCTGTTCTCCCATATAGCCTCAATGCCATTGCTTTCACCAGCTTTTTGCATCTCTCTTCTTGGACCATTCTTCAGTATTCTCGTAAGCAACAAGAAGCACGAAGGTAAGACTGAGTAAGCCCAAATCTTTCGTATCTGGCCAGCTACTTGTTTTCCTTTAGTTTTTTTTCCCACAGGCCTGCACAAAACAGAACTGACCTGCTGCTCCGTCTTCCCTTTCTCCAAGAGGTTCTTTACTTCTAGCTCCTTCCCTTTCATGTCTTCTCTCAAGTCCTCATAATCTTTCAGCTTCCTGGCCATTAGCTGATCTAACTCCTCCGCTTCCTTCTTGATCTTATTTGCTTCGTTCTGCGGGTGGAAATCAGAAACAAACGCAGATTCCTGAGCATTAAAGAATTTCTGAAGAGGTGGCAAAATCATGGTATAGTTTAACAGTCAGACAGGCAGAATCTATGATGGGTTCCCACCTCTTACAACTACAGCTGTAATATTGCCGTCAAAGCTGCGAATACCATGAGGGTCAGCGCAATGAAGGACAGAGGCTGCAAACAGTTTTGTGTTCAAGAAAATCTACTGCATTACAGTGAGCACAGGAGAGGGAGCAGTTCTGCAGGCTTCAGGGGGAACGAAGTTTTTGCATTTCTCTGTTCAAGCCAAGATGTTTGGCAAACAACCTTTCACTCATTTTTTTTGTCCTTCACAGACGGGGGTGGGGGTGGGGGCTTACACATGTTTCCTGCATGCAAGTCTCCTGCATAAAAGCCGAAATGCACAAGTCTGGGTTATGCCTAGATGGTCAAAAATTCCACAGACTGTTCTTATGCAGAGAAACATTAGCAGACCACACACAAGGTACGCCAGCAACCTCGCATGCTGCTATAATGCACTGACCTTCAGAAAATGCTGTACATGACGCTTCCCGCACGTACCTCTAGCCCCGTGGAATCCACAGCAGGGAGACTGGTGAGATTAGCATAGATCTGCAGGGCTTTGTTTCCAGCTTCCTCTGCCTCTGCAAGCACCTTGCTGGCCTGTTTCTCTAGGTCTCGAGAAATGTTCCTTGCTTGATTATACCTGAAAAACCCCAAGGATCCAGTTATGGCACAATTTCTTTTTTTTAGAGTCGAAGTTACTAAGAGAGTAGAGAGGCTAAGAACTTGAAAAACAACTCGCACAAAACCCAAAGCACACAACACTACAGAAGGTGTCTCAGTTTCAAGCACTGCTTAAAGCCAGGAAATAAAAACAATTTTCTGTTACTGACTCACTTCTGGTTGAGCTCATCAATGTCATTTGCAGTTTGGTTTTCTCCAGCCAGGGTCTTCAGCAGCAGCTGATACGCTTCTGTGGAGGTATCATTTGCTGCCTTGGCTATGCGAACAATTTCATCGGCTTCTTTTCTGTGTCTGGACAAGATTACAGAAGAAAAAATAATGCCATTAGAATTTTCAGCCAGTGGTTTCTATCCTCAATTCTAGACTTTATTCTCCCTTCCTTCACCCAGATTTGCATATGGAAGATGCTGAAACGTTTGCTAATACAAGATGCTGTTTGAGACCGTCTCTTCAACCAAGGCATCACTCCAGCAGTGCCCAGGAGACCAGCTGAAAGGCACCACTGCGGTTGTACATGTCCGTTGTTCACACGTCTAGTGTTTGCCCTCAGCAGTACACAGGCGTGCGCTCACAGTGCCAGTCTCTTACTCAAAGGATGTGCGTTTTGTGTGAAGAAAACTAAATTTTGCTTCCCCCTTGTAGGGAAGAGCAGGGCCCTGATGCGGGCTGTGAGGAGCACACCTTGCCGCAGCCTACCTTTCAGCCAGCTTACGGGCCTCTTCTGCCAATAGAGTCATATTGTTAGGGTCCCCGCTTGACTCTGGAGGTGTAATGGACTGGAAAAAAAAGACACGGAAGAAATCTTAAAGCTTTTTCATCTTTTATTCATCTATGCTTTAAATATTTATTGTCATGATCTAAATGCTTAGAGAGGTGTCTAACCTACTTTCGACTTCTCCACATTTTTTCTTAAGACCATGCAGTTTCCACCACCGGTTATCCCTTAAAAACAAAGGTGCTGATATTTATTTAGGGGTTCTTAGAGCTGGTTTCTTTCAGCAGGGGCTAAGCTACAATCTATGACAGACACTGGTGATGTTCCTTTATTTATTTCCCACAATCTGGGGTAGGGGAGAAGATACTTCCATAGCAAATTTGCTATATGAGAGAGAGAACAAGCAGAGAAACACACCAGAGGGCACAGAAAGGAAATCCCCTCTCCTCTCCTAACCATGTGGGGTCTTGGCAGCACACTCACCACGTTGTTAGCTGCCATCTTCGCCTTCTCCAGCATATCAGAAGCTAAGCTGATCAGGTCCTCGGTGTCCTCCACCCGCACCCGGGCTTGCTCCGCCAGCTGCTCGGTCTCCTGCACCGTGCCCTGGATGTTCCTCAGCCTGTTGAGCTGACTTGCTAGTGTGCTGTTGATGTCTTTGAGACGATCCGTAAGGCCCTGATCCACGTCTGAAATGCACGATACAAAAGAGAGGAAGCAAAATTCATTACAGCAGGAAGAGAAGCTGGAGTGCTGGCTTACCACTGCAGGCAACACGTTGGTAGGTTAATCCCCCACTGAAAGTGGACCAGCAAAGCCATTTCCTAAGTCAGTCAGCTTGAGATCAACGGTGTCATCAGAATGTGCATCGAATATGAGGAATGAAAAGTCATTAACTACTCATTAGACAGTCCTGCTGGGTGCTGGAACTAAGTCTGATGTGGAATTTTGTGTTCAGAATCATGTTTCACCTCTATCATTGACTGAAAAACGACAACAGAGCTGTTCCTCAAGAGGTATGAAATACCTGCTTTGCAAATTCTCATTAGCTTAGCTCCTAGAAGGTAAGCAGAGATGGAGGAATAGTGGGGCTGTATGTTATTTCCCGCTTTGGGCAATGATGGCTACTCCTGAGCCAGACATCAACGACAAAAGTTGGCAGGACAGAGGACCCAGCCTTGGCTGTCCAATCTGTGGGGCCTGTGAGCCCTCCATCTTCCCCAAACTCTTGACCACCAGGTAACTCCCCACAACACTGTCTGAATAATGGAGCCATGAAGTACAGACAAGTGTCTCACGACCAGAGGGAATTACTTTGGAAAACGCAAGACCACTGTTAAGAGATGAAGTACTAGCAGAAGCCCACAGCCTTCCAGGATGAAGGTTTTTCCCAAATATGCTGCCTTGACCCTGCAGCACGTCCTATGCATTGAATATGAACATTTAGCACATTTCCAAAACATACTACAACTACATATCAAGTAGAAAACCACAAGTGCGTGCTACAGGTGTGCACAGATTTTTGCAACGGTTGTTTTTTTTGCATTTAACTTGCCTTTTAGTAAGGGAAGAGGTGGAAAGAAAAATGAAAAATACCACCACAAAACCCAATCCATTCCCTCACCCTTCTCCAATCCCCACCTTCCTATGCCTACGCAGGGTGCGTATTATCCAGGTATGGATGTCAAGTGGGCTGCATAAAGCTACTCCAGTTAAAACTAAGGGGAGTTTCAGTGTTCATTCCCATCGGCAGGAATCTTCCCAAGCAAACACCAGGGTTCAATTTGCACTGGCTTTTTCCCAGCTTCATGCAAATGTGACAGATTTTTCCAAAGTGGTCTGAAGTCGGTGAACTGACTCCCGGGGGAACATCTTTTACTGCAAAGTCAAGAGTCTTCAAGTTGCTCTTCGCCAAGACACACATCAGCCTACACATTAGAAAGACCCTAAGGACAAACCACTGTCACACTGCTTAACATCCTGCTCACAGACATCCTATGGCAGAGGTGACAGTACAAGAACCAATTCAAAGCAGAGTGTAACAAGAACAAATAGCTAAAGGCCACCACCACAGAACTTTTCAGGACATTGTATACTTCGTGGTGGGATAATTCAGCTTGCCAGCAGGATTTTGAAGCCTTCATTCTGATCGCTGATATCCCAACAAGAACTGCTTTATCTCAAGATGTCTGAGCAAATTTGTAAGCATAATAAGTATATCGGAAAGTCTTCTGCTTAAGTAAAAACCTCCTTCACATCTGGAAAGGACGGTAACACTTGCATCTGTATAGAGCTAGAGGCAGATCCTTATTTTGCACATACGACAGAGGCCACTGGGAGAACAGCAGGGGTAAAAGCATAGCCGCTGTTGTTTTGATAATAATGTACACTATCTTAGCGCTATCTGCAATAGCTGTCTGTCCTGATGCACAGCATAGGCTTGAAATAAAGCATGCTGTATCCAAAGAGAACAGGAACATCAAGCAAAGAGTTCATTTCACATTGGTCCTTGTCCAGTCAAGTCAACTCACCTTTGCTGTTCTGTGCTTCCTGGAGCAACTCCGTAACATCTCTTTCTGCCTGCTTCAACCTCTCTTCAAAGGCTTGGTCGGTTACAGTTTCTTCTCCCGTACCCAGGTTTGCTATAAGATTTTCCAGCTCTTGCAACCTCTCTCGTTGCTCCGTCACCTACCCGAGAGGGACAGAGCACAGCTACGACACAGGGCAAAGCGCACTGACCCTCTCTGCTTTCAGCAGGGCGCGGCCACTGTGTAAAAGCTGCCGCGCGAGCAGACACATGCCACCGACCCCTGCGGCACCAAGGGAGGCGTTGGTGGCCTTACCTTATCTTTCACTAATCTGTAACAGGCCGGACACTCTTGGCAGCCCGGCCACGAGCGGTTGTAGAAATAGTTCTCTTCACACTGGTCGCAGCGGCTCCCCACGAAGCCTTCCTTGCACTCGCAGAGACCGTTCTCCCGGCACTGCAGGGAGCGCGAACCCTCAGGATCACAATCGCAGGCTGCAGGGAAGTTAAACCTCAGTCAGACTGGAGGGGAGGCAGAAACACCCTAAAACTCGCAGGGCGAGAGTGTACCCTAAACACCCTAAAACGTCTGCAAGAGCAATGGGGCACAAATCCACAGCTGGAGCCCTGCTCCTGATCGCACAGCAGGGCACTGTCTAGCTGGACACAACATTCATTGCATGTGTGCACAGTGTTGCTGTTGCCTCTCCTACAAAGCATTCAAATTTTCTATGCCATTTCACTGTAACCAACTGCAGTTAATTCTTCTGCTCTTTACAGGCAGGGGTATCAAGGACGAAAGTCTGGATCACCCTGTTTTTCAGTCATGTTTACAAGATCTGTTGCTCCTCAGGATGGAATCTGTATATTTGGATACTTGGGCCATTTGCAGAGTAGCTGTGCAGAGATTTCTCATTAGGAGACAGGGCTGTTGCAGGGCAAGATTCAGAGAATGTAGTTACACTGAAGAGACGTGGGTATCTAGTAAGTTGGAGATCTTCCTACCCCCCAATTGAAAAAAATAAAAGAAAAAGTGGATAAGCTATTGTACAGAGATCAAATTTCACCATGCAATGTGCGGACATAAAAGTGCCAACTTCTGCTGCAGTGAAGAGCAAGGTGAGAAAGTACCTTCCCAGAGACAGGAGGACAGCAAAGGCAAGGCTGGCTGTGCCACATCCTTGCCATCTGCCTCGCCCCAGCCTCTCAGACTTACGTTTACAGCCTTCGGAGCCAAAGCCAAAGTGGTTGACCTCGCATTTGTCGCAACGCTGGCCGGTGACGCCTGGCTGGCACTCGCACTGCCCGGTTCGGATGTCGCACTGGCCGTCGGTGGAGCCCAGGGCATGGCAGTCGCACCTGGGGGAGATGCCACACATCAGGTGGTGACATGGAAGGGAGGCACAGGTGAAGCGCCGCTCTGACGGAGCCCTAACCAGCACAGCTCAACACTCCCATTTGCCAAAAGTCACTTCTCGTGCTGTGCAGATGCATGAGGCGAGGCACTGAGCCTTTGAACCGTGCAAGGTCACTTGGTGCCTGCACTAAAAAGGGAACTCACAAGCCCCTGCTACCAACAGAGTCACATGGCACTTTTCTATTTAAAACCCTGATTTAAAGCTATTTGTAAGTCAGGTTTTTTGTACAGCCTCCATAGCTGCTCCTTAACTGCTGCTCTTCCCCATGCATAGCAGCATTAAGGCACACCAGTTGTGACAAACATCACATCCCTGCACCAGGTAAGCACAGACCCCTCAAAACCAGGCTCTCTGCCCCAAGTCAAGGTGAACGTCACCTCTCACAGCCGCGTCCGCTCTGGAGGTTGAAGAAGCCGGGCTCACAGGCACTGCAGTCCCTCCCGGTGACATGAGACAGGCACTCACACTGCCCAGTCACTTGATTGCAACTCGTCTGCTGATTCACAGTGCCGTAGGGATTGCAGTGACAAGCTGCAAAAATAAAAGGCGGGGGGAAAAGGGGGAGAATATTGCAGAAAGATAGAGTCCCTTGTGGTGCTGGTACTCTGCTGGCCGGCCCCTGAACAGGTCTGGATCCAAAACACGTGGCAGCCCAGCCCCTGCATCACACAATGCTTTTGCTTCGATGGCAGGAAGGGCCCACAAGCACAAGCACTTTAGCAAGCTACAACCACCAATCCAGCATAAAGCCACGCGTCGCTGCTGACGGGCACAAACAACAGCCTGACGCTGTGTCCTAACAACACATCAGGAAACAGCAGCTCTCGGGGACAAAAATGCAAGAGGAACCGGCTCTCACCTCTGCACTTGGCGGCAGGATCGGGGGCCAGGGGGTTTCCGAAGAAGCCGTCTTTGCAGCGGTCGCAGTAGAAGCCGGCGGTGTTGTAAATGCACTTGAGGCACTCGCCCGTCTGGCGGTCGCAGTTCCCCACGGCGTTGGGGTCGATGTTGTCGTTGCACTGGCAGAGGCGGCAAGGCCTCACAGCACCGTTTGCGCCCAGCGGGTCTCCGAAATAGGCGTCGTCACACAGCTCGCACCTCTTGCCTGGGACGCGACACAAATGCACGTGCTGCAGCAGAAGCCCTTTGCTGCTGTCTCACTCAGACCCCCTTTGCAGTCCCTTCTTAAACTCTCCAGCTTTCTCCCCTTTCCTCCCTCTGCTGGGGCCAGAAAGGTGCACAAAACCACACACATATCCCTCCCCATCTCTAAATGTAAGTCGCTTTTTCACTGGAACTTTGCATTATGAATTACTTCAACTCCTTCTTTCCCTCCTGTCCCTTTAAGCCAAGCCTATTTGTTGTAGTTGTTAAATTAAGAGCCTGAGCAGGTAGAGGTCTGTGGGGCATCACCGCTCGACAAAGTCCCACTGCCAATGAGACGTGCTAAACCTCCACAGGCAGCCACTGAAGCAACCAACTCAGCAGCTCCCTACATTTCCTGCAGATCTGACCTCCCCAGCCAGCCATAAACTCCATTTCCGAGGCAGTTCTTGCACACGCAAATCCTCTTTTTCCTCGCATCCCAAGAAAGCGTCGGGAAACAGAAGGAACTCTTGTGCGATCACACAGCTACAAGTAAAGGTGAGCTTGTAACGACACCTGAGCTGCAGGGAACCTGGACCCCTGGACTCCGCTTTGGTTCACAGCACCCATGGGAACCCCCACAAGCTGCCTCTGCATTTGGTCAGGGGCTTTTCTAAGCATTTCAAGCACTTGGAGGTGTTTTGTGCTTTGTATTCTGCCATGCCAAGCACAAAATCAGCAGAGAGGCACAGAGGCTGCCAAGCATCCTAAGGCTTCCTTGCTGTTTGCAGGCAGCACAAAAGGCTCTGCTCAATGACGCAGGTACGTGCTCGGACTTCACAGTTTATCACTACAAAAACAAGATCTGTACCCAATCGCATATTTCTCTTTAAAACTGCTCAGTGTAAATTTGGTCTGGTATTTTTTGAGCAGTGTTTGTGAGTCACTGTAGCCTTTCTGCTCTTCCTAGGGAGGGCACTGGCCCTCCCCTGCAAGCATCCCTCAGTGCCTCTCTGGCTGGCAAACTGCATCTTCTAATTTTATTTCAGTCTGACCTGCCTTCCTGGCTCTTTTAAATCTATCCTATTTTCTGCCCTACACTGTGCAATTAACAGAGCTCTACCAGAAGCTAGCACGGCTCACCTATGCAGCACAGAAACGTTCACACTTAGCACAGATTAAGCGTTTGTTCCCCTTTTGCTCTTGAGAGACAGAAACAAAGAACATGGGTAGCCTCGAACCTTGCACAGGACAGAAAACAAGGCTGAGGAAGGGAGAAGGATTTGAACCAGAAGACACAGCAGCTATCAGTGCTGCTCCCTGTGGGTCAGAGCCCCAGAACTGGCAGGAGACACATTTCCACAGGCACGTGGGGTGTAGAATTAAAAAGACTTTTCGTGTAGGAACACACCTGTAGTGCCAACCTGGCAGCTGGTGCACACCACCTCTTTTGTGCGGGGCACGATGGCACAGCTCGAGCTGCCTGGGCATGGGCAGGGCTGGCAGTCTGAGGCCGTGCCCGCTGTCGCGTCTCCGTAATACCCATCACTGCACTTCTCACAGTGAGACCCCGCCGTGTTATCCCTGCAATTGCACACGCCTGGAACAGAGAGGGACATGGTTTTTGCTTCATCAGCCAACCCAGAAAGAACAACCTCTTGCTGCTCCCTGTTTTATCAGCCCTGCTTACCCGTCTCAGGTTCGCACGTCTCGCTGTGCCCATTGCACATGCAAGGCACGCAGGTGCTGTACGGCCCGAGGCTCGGCGTCTCTCGCCGGTACCCGGAGGAGCAGCGCTCGCAAAACTGCCCCTCGTATCCCACCGGACAGGAACAGCTCTCCACCCAGGCCACAGGCACGCCAGGTCCAGGACGAGCGCTTGTGATGGTAACGTCATCCAGGTGGCCGGCACCTAGAAAGCACCGAGAGGGGAAACGCTTTGTAACTACAAAGGCTCTCATCACTGCGTCACCAAACATACATCTATCTGAACGGTACAAGAGACAGACAGGGGGATGCTCGCAGTTAGTAAGATGAATCAAGAAGCAAAATCCTCCAGGAAGGCTTAGGCAGCTGAGAGAAGATGCAATATAGCTCACGAAGGGCACGCGCAGGGCAAGGAAGTTGAGAATAACAATACAAAGGAGGCTGCTGAGAACAGCATGTGAACAAGTACAGTCAGTTAAAATAAGTTACATTTTTGCATGCATACAGTTTCCATTTCCAAATCAAATACCAAAACCAATTCCTGTCTTACTAGGGAGGACAGACCATATCTCCAACAATTTTAATATACAGTCTCTAACACAGCATCTGCAAACCACACCTTGGGGCAAACTCTTCAGCTATTCCTCTCAAGCCATTCCTTCATCTGGTATTTGAGCGCTCCCCCTGCCCCTTCCTCGGAACAGAACAGAGCCCAGACACAACCTAGATGTTTTTTAACGTATAGGAGTGTGTTTGTACCACCGCAGCAGCTCTAGAGCACAGAGCAGAGCCTCAGCTCCCGCAGAATAGCAGCAGCTACAGCACTCGGGATGGTTTGCTCCACACCTTTCCTCCCCTTCACTTCACAACCCCACATTCCTCTTCATGAGCCACCTCTGCTGAAAACACTTGGAGCTCTCCCATCTTCCCTAAATGCAAATTCATCCTTTGCATCTTTCTGCAACAATTCTTCTTCACACGACAATACTCAAAGATCCAGGTATTTTTGCTTCTAATTCGTGCCCGATTTTTATAAACCCTCATTACGAGGAACTTTCACCCAAGTTCAGCACAGACAGCCCTTTCGAGACCTCATCTTTCCCATCTGTCATGCCAAAGCAAGACCAGGAAACAAGCGGATGTAACCATTCCCAGGAGGGCAGAAACCAAGGCCAAATGCTGTAAAATCCCTCCATCTCTCCTACCGTGTCTTTCAGGACTCTGTGCTATTTCTACTGACTTGGAAGACACTGGCTACGCAACATGGCAAAACCCCCACGATCAGAAGCAAAGGATCAGCAGGTGATGAGTGCTCAGCTTCCAGACTCGCAAAGGCAGCATGCTTCTTGCCCATGTCCTCTTCAGCAGGCCTGGGAGAAGCTGTTACACAGCAAGGCCAGGCGTAAAACAATCGGCACAGGCTCTGCCAAATAAGCTGCCACAGCTGCTTATGACTGGGCCCTACGATCAAGCAACCTGAGCGCCAGACGAATGAGTCTGCCTCTCTCTTCTGTGGCATTCTGCTCAGCGACTTACTTCTCTCGCTGTACGTCCCACGGATCTTGATGGAAGTCAAGTTGTGGAGAAGCTTCTGGAAGTCAAATGCCGTAAGAGCAGGCCTCCATGGGTAATCTGTAGCTTCATGGAGCCTACGGAGAAGATCCAGGCACCATCAGCAAAGCTTTCAGATGCTAACAGCTGTGCCCTTTTAAAGCACCCTTTCCAACAGCGGTATGCTATTGCAACATAATTCACATACGCTTACGCAACGCTGCTAGACAGCGAGCTTCCAATTAACCCCAGCTGCTCCCACCACGCCTGGAGAGTCCTCTCACCTGAAGGTATAGGTAAGCGCGTTCTCGCTGGGGTAGGGGTTGCCCTGGGCAATCAGCGGCACTGACACTCTCAGCCCAGCCCCTTCCAGCACCAGGTCCTCTGCAGAGAGGCGCGTGTCCCGCCTGTCCACACGGAAGGAGAAGGTCAGGTTTTGCCCATAACTCAAAACCTGGTTGCCCAAGAACTTGCCTGAAAGGAGAAATCCTTACAGTTAGGGGACAGAACAGAAAAGGCACAAGCAGCACAGAAAACCTTGCTTCTTGAACGACTTACGTGGTGCAACAAAGTACATGGGGAAGTAGCTGTCTGAGATAACAGAGATATCCTGGGTCTCGGCACTCCACTGGAGTAAGACTTCCGAGCCATCACGCTGCTCAGCACGCCACTCATCCTCTCCTGAAAAATCAAACATGCAAAAATTAACACCCTTGGAAGATGGCGCTTTGCACAGACTTTTTGTGTCATACTGCATACTGCCCATATATAACTAATCTACAGTCTGTACACTGGCACTAACAGACTTCAGAACGCAGCTGTGCAGGAGGACGTAGACAGCAAACATCATCTTTCCAATTAAAGTCCCTAACTCCAGTGCAGACTTGAACCCTCTGAACTTTGAACCCTATGACAACTACTTGTTCAGTACCTTTTTTTTCTAAAGAGCTTAAGCAGTGATCGGAAAACCTGCAGTCTCCTAAGACTTAATGCAACTTCCAGACTTTGTACAAACTGTTCTCCAGTGGAATTTTAATTAAAAAATATATTATTTTCAGACTGTGTAGCACAAACACACACACAGAGGAAACTGACTGTATGCGAAAAGATTTCTCCTGAGCTTACACACCCAATGGAAACACAACTGTGTTTTACTCGGACACCAAATCTAGAGTGATTACAACCCTCTCAATCAGAAACTCCTGATATGGTTCTAAACTTAAGAAAATACCCCCTCGCCAGCACCCCTCTCAAGCTGTAAAAGGGTTACATTTCCAATTCCTGCTTGCACCTGCACTGTGTAGTTAGCACTGGGTGCCTGAGGCCAGAGCTATGAATTCACTCCTCCCTAGCTCAACAAACGAGCTGCTGACTGGGAAGCTCCCAGTAACTTCAGCAGTAACTCAGCACTTCCAAAAAAGGGATCCTGGACCTGCCTGCCCAAGGTTTGCGATCTTGCACAAGGAGGAAGGAGCAGGGTGGAGGGGTTTGGTTTTTTGTTTTGTTTTGGGGGTTTTTTGTTGTTGGTTAGGGTTTTTTTGGGGTTTTGGGGTTTTTTTGTTGTTTTAAATCACTTCTAAATTGCGCCTACAGCCCAACTTGAGACTCAAAGGAAGGCTCAATTTTACCAAACTGGAAGCTGGAGGTGATGCTGTAGATACTGTAGCCGATGGCATTGGTGCAGACTGAAGAGTGTCCAAAACAGAAGCAGGGGGTACAGCCCCTTGGATTGGAGGAATCCAGATGGAAAAATCCAGGTTTGCATCTGAAGATGCAAAGGAAAGAGAATTAATTTCCCTGATGTTCACCTCAGGCCATCACTTGAATGTTTCTCATTCTTGAAACAAAGCCATGGGAAGAGACACTCACCTCTCGCAGTGGAAGCCTTCAACACTGTCCTTGCATGTACACCGTCCTGTCTCGACGTTGCATTCCCCTGTGCTGCCAGCCAGATCGCAAGAACAGGGCCTGAAAGAGCCAGGAGAGAGGATCGCTCATAAAGAGCCACACAGAGAAGGATTTAAAAAGGTCCTTAGTTCTCTTTTGTTGAGCAGCAGTCCTCCTTACCTGCACCCGGCTTCAGACAGGGAGTGGAAGCCTGGCTGGCACCGGTCGCACTTCTCGCCCATCACGCCGGGTTTGCAGCTGCACTGGCCATAGCTGTCGCACTGCGTGCTGAGGGAGCCTGCGGGGAGAGCAGGGACAGGCACCTCAGATGAACCACCCACTTCTATTCGCCTACAATTTTTTCAACTTTACAAAATGGGCAAGACATATGGGAAAAGAAAGTGGGAAGCACAGCTTCAGGCTGATGAGTGACAGCTTTCCTAAAGACTGCCTTCAGTTGTTCACAGGGATTTTTCCCCTAGCAGCTTGAGATGAATCGTCACCTAGTCTTCCAAACTATATTCAGCTTCAAGTATTCCTACCAACCACCATTTTTATATATAATTTTAACTTCTAGTTGCATTCTGGTCCTTATTCCTGTTTCATCCTCAGTGTTACCTCTGTACACCACTAATTCCACGCCTGTTCCACCCCGCACTGCACCATTTCCGAGATTTTTATTCCCTGAATCCCTTGTGTTCTCCCTAATCACCATCTTCCCTTTGCCAGGGGATATCCTGACCTCTCCCTTTCACACTCCGATTTCCTCCCCTGATTCCCAAGTTGGATTTAAAGACTAAACTGCCTACTCGGAGCAAGGCTGCGTGTATCACTATTAACCCTAACAAACTCTGCAGCAAAACTGCCATTTTTGGCAGGACGTCTTCCTCAGTACTGCTCTGTTCAAGCAGACTTGCACAAAAAACGGCAGCAGGTTTCTTGAATCCGTGACAGAAAAAATGCTTTGTCCCAAGCACTGGTGTAGCTAGCAGCCTAGGAACTGTGAGCACTCTAAGAGTTAACTACCAGGAGACAAGTATTTTAATATGCAGAAATAGTTGCTTCTTTCCACTTCAATCCACACCAGAAGATTACAGCAAAGTGAAGAGTTATAAGATAATTAGGCTGGACAGGACAGAAGAACTCAGAAAACCTTTACCATATACAGTCAAAGTTCAAATCCTCTTCGCAGTCCCTCTTAGGATTATTTAGGAAAAAACAGCACTCAGACAAAAAATAGCAATCTAAGCCTATCCAAGGGCTTCAGATACGCCCTGGGTGCCGGCGTGCCACGGCATACAAGCTGATGGCTAAGTTAGAAAGCCCTTCAAAATTTATCCTTAAAGACCTGAGAAGTCACCTCCCTGCCTCTTCTCAACCGTCTCAGCTGACATCAACCCTCACCCTTTTTAAAATAAGGCCTGACACAAGGACCTGGGAAAGCACACGGATAAAGAAAGAGGCCTTTCTTGGTCAAAAATTTCACAACTGTACAACTCTCCGACCAAATTAGATAGGAGACGTACCCTGGCAGACCTCTCGCTGGCTGCTTTTAGGGCATGCTGCAAGCAATTACTTATTCCAGCTACTCTATTTTGGAACCTCACATCATATCTTAGTATGTGTTACCCTTTTGTCTCCTTCCCCCTTATTTGCTGTGGGCTGGTGCAGTTATGGGATCACTCCATACAGGTCAAGTGGTTCCTTTAATGACAAGAGATTTCTTCTCCTGCCCAAATTTTTTCCATTTGTTTTTTGTTTTTGGTTTGGGGGGGTTTTGTCTTGTTTTTTAAAAGGAGTTTAACTACATATTTTGAGTTTACTTTGTTTTCTCTCATCCCCACCCCCTTTTGTGTTTAAGGTTTCACTGGTTTGTATTTCTAGTGCTTGGATACTCGGTAGGAGAAACTGATGCAGCTAAAGTTCACTACAATTCCTCAGTATGAACAACTTCCAGAAATATCCACTCACATCATCTTGTTTTTTAAGAATTTAAATGAGCTCTTTAGTATTGGGAGTGTCCAGGGTAACTCATCAGCAGAGGGGCAAAAAAAAAAAAGGCAAAAAACCCCACAAAACCAGATAAAACCTATTTCAGAACACATTTGATGAAGTAAATGCTGCAGAGGTGAACCGTCTGCCCCTGCCACCCCAACCCCGATTAGATCCAGGATAATTTAAACCAAAATACAACCCAATAAATGTTTCCTACATGTGGAAAAAAAGGCAAGAGAAGAAAAGCAAACGAAAACCCCCTCTTTGTAGTTTGCAATGAGCTGCATAACCAAGAGAAGAGCTAGCTTTTGCGCATGGAAGCTTGCAAGCAGAAACGTTTGCTGGCACTACTCACCGACGGGGCTGCAGCTGCAGGGCAGACACCCCTCCTCGCTCCCCAGGCGATAGAAGCTGTCCCGGCACCTTTCGCAGTGGGCGCCGTCGGTGTTATCGGAGCAGCCCGTGCAGTGGCCCCCATGGCCCGTCGAGCGGTACAGCTCAGGGTCGAAGTAGCACTCCTGCGACCTCCCATTGCAGTCGCAAGCTGCAAAGACAAGGGTACCATCGGCAAACAGCACGTGCGGCCATCTGACCCCGACAGCCACAAAACCCGCGATGCAAAGCTTGGTACTGAGTTGTAGGGGAGCTGGAGCAGGAGCCTTTAACCACCCCCAGATCCGTGCATAGACGTCCCAAGGCATTTGTGCATCGACCGGACGAAAAAGGGGGAAGCATGCTTTTGCGGTGGCTGAATGTGGGGAGAGGGAAGCAAGGCTGTAACAACAAAATAGGATCCTCGAGACCATTCTCATCTACATCCAGAAGAAAAGCAGTATTTTTTATCCCACCCTCTTCCATGAGTGGCTGCTGTTTGCAGCCACAATGCCACCTTCCCACAGAGCAACACCAATCTTGGTCATGAAAACAGGCATCAGAAGACAACAGCAAGGGCTGACTCCCTGCTGGAAGGAGGGCTTCTCCCCTGGCTCTAGACAGATTGCAAATCCCCTGTGTCCAGCGAGCAGGAGACCTGGGTTTCACTGGGCTGTCAAGGGAAGCCACACGTCTTGACCAGACAGCTGGGACCGATCAACACACACAGAGGTCAGACAGGAAGAAAGCTTTTCTGTCTGAAAAAGCTTCCCCATAAAGTAAACTATCGGGAGCTGCGGTCTGCGACACAAAACCAACCAAAATAAATTTGCACTCCGTCACAGAGATCCGCATTTGCGGTCCAGAACTGTTGCAACAGCCTCGAAATTGGATGAAACAGTCAACAAGTAACTGTAAAAACCAATAACCCAAACACAAGAGGAAGTCAGCAGATGCTGAATGAAGAGCTTTTTGAAGGTCAATTATACTCCAGTGCATTAAATACAGGTTTTTTTCTATGGGTTCCGTAAACTACAAGCCTGTACATTTTTGCAGCACACTTCTTTCCTAAAGGCTGCTCCCATCCCTCTCCAGAACAGAGATTCCCCTTTCTAGGGATCTAACAGAAAGCTCCTACAGGACAGGAGTGGAATAACCAGTAGTCCCACAAAATCTCTGCTGAAAAACACCAGAACTCTGCTTAACACTGGCTAATCACAACTGAGACAACTCAAAACCATGCAGGGCCAGCTGCTGGATGCCAGAGGCAGGGGACCCAACCCATGAGAGATTTTCCACTCAAGCGTGGCCACACGTACGCAAGCACTCATTGGCACTCTCTGCTGTCGCTCTCCTCCATGGTCGGTCATTGAAGAAAGGAAGACACTTTTCACAGTCGACCCCGAAGGTGTTGTGCTTGCAGTTGCAGACCAGCTTCCCAAGCTCATTCTTCACACACTCACTCGCGTGCCCATTACATTTGCATCTGGTTAACGAGAGACAAGGAACAGGTATTTAAACTCCAGGGTTCCAGGTCAATCACAGAGCAATCCCAAAAACAAAGCCCAGATCTGAAAATCTGAGACGAGACAAGTTCAAAGGTAGATGGTCACAACAAAATTCAGAACCGAACTGCTGCTGTTCAGCCTGAAGAAGAGGAGGCTGCAGGGAGACCTCACCGAGGTATTTCAATGTCTAAAGGGGGTTTATAAGAGAGCTGGAGAGGGACTTTTTACCAGGGCCTGCAGCAACAGAACAAGGGGTAATGGTTTTAAACTAAAAGAGGGTAGATTTAGATCAGATACAAGGAAGAAATTCTTCCCTGTCAGAGTGGTGAGGCCCTGGCCCAGGTCACCCAGAGAAGCTGTGGGTGCCCCACAGACCAGAGCATAATGGTACCATGTGAGTACAATCAAAAGCCTTAAAGCACTCTAGTAATCCTGACCAAAAGCTTTAAAGTACAGAGGTTTATTGTCTACTCACCTACCACCCACAGCAAAATCAGAAATCGCATAGTAATAAGACTTGAGAACTTTTGGGTCATTGAAAACTTCATCTCCAAACGTGTTCAGACGATTGAGGGTCACTCTAATATCTGTAGCTGTCACCCATTCCTAGAGCAGACAGAAATCCCATCAGATTAAACATCAAACATCCCCCTCAAGCACGTACCAGTGCTGTGTCGTTAGCAGTTACATTCACAAAGTCATTCATCAATCAGCAAGTTCCTTCCTCATTGTTTTCCCCTCTGCACCTTGGAAGCTCCCATGTCCCTGCCCAAGAGGCCATCCACCGCATCCTCTCGGTCTGGGTGTGTCTTCTGGAGCCTGCTCCGATCTCTGCACGCCCTCTCTAATGTCTCTTCCCATCTTGCCTGCTCTCAGCTGGGAAGCAGTGGGTAACGCCTCCAGCAAAGAGTGGGGCAGAGGCAACTCTGCCAGCTTGCTAGTCATACATATCTATTTGACTGCAATTTTCCTGCAAAGCTATACAGCAAGAATACAAAAAGCTTTAGGGTACGCCTGTCTGCAGACATGTACCTCGAGATGAAAAGACACAGACAGACAGACGAATGAGGCAGGGCGAGGCTAAGGAAGAAAAACAGACAGGCAGATCTGACCTACAACACAAGAGCTTTTCATAATATTTACACAGCGTCTTCACCACAGTACCCTACGGTCCTCCGGCAACAGCCAGCAAATGTCGCCTGTCCCCAGATTTCACACCACCTTCAACCAGTGACTGTCTTCAGGACGTCCTTGTTTTTATTACAGCTTTTGCAATACCATTTTCTTTCAAACACCATAAAAAAGAACAGGAGAAAAGCATCCCTGTACGTACAACTGTGCTGCAGTTACGTCACTGCTTAGCCAGTACAATAAGATTTACTGAATTACAAACACTGGCATAAAGACATGGAATTGCTGTGCAAAAAATAAGTGTTTACTTCAGTTCTGAAAAGCAATGCCAGAGATCTATACGTATTTTAGGAAACTGGAGATCAGATCTCTACTCCTTACACAGGGAAGTTTATCAGAAAATTATATGCCATATTGCTAATGTGAAATCTCTCTGGTCCCCTTAACGATTAGGCTCTGCAAGGTGCACCGTGCTCTGCAAGGGCTAGCTACACCAATAACGTGGCCAAACTCGTTCTCTTCCATTTCAGGACTTCTCCTTCCTTCCCCATTAATCTTAATTTTCTTTTGCAGAAACAAGCCCCACCAGGTTCTGCTCTCCTGCTCGCTCGCAGGCGATCAGAGACAGTCGCGCCCTGAGTCTGCCGAGTGCTCATGTTTCAGTCTGCTCCTGCTACTCCAAGAGGAAAGCGAAGAAGTGGCGATCACACCTCCGAAAGGAAGGAGATGAGCCTCGATAGGGCGAACCCTAGCTTTAGCTCCTTGTTGCAATATAAGCTGCAGAAATCGTCAAATAGAATACAGAAAGTGGCAAGTATACTGGATAAACTGGTGCTCCCAGTATGCTCCTGACCACTGCCCAACCAGCGTTGTGCATAACAAAAAAACCCCAGCTGAACCCCCACCCCAAGTCACTTGTGAGAGAAATCATACAAACTGTGGATAAAGACAAGCTCCCCTGCCCCAACACTTATGTAAGAGAACAGATTAGGGTTTCCAATAACCCTTTGTTCATTTAGAAGAATCTCACATTTCTTAAATTTTTGTGCTCCAACTATACATGCAGATGCCTCAAAAATTCATTTGACTTAGGCTTTACCTTCCTCTGCCCCTACACTCGAAACAGCAGCGAAATCCCCGCAGCTGCTTTCTAAGCACGCAGAGATTTTCATCCATCCTCTGAAGACTTCCATGATGCCTACTGACAAATCATCCTTAATGCCACTGATCTCGCTTTCTGTACCATAAACTTACCTACGACAGAGTCAAGAGTTCACCTCTTTCTTCAAGAGTCTCTCCATCCCAACTTACCTGTGCGAGGGCCTGTCAGTACGAACGAGGGCTGCAGTGCAGCCCACAGTCGGCACAAAGCCACCACCCACAATGACTAAACGGACTCAACTCGGACCACCCGGCTGACTTAGTCCCGCTCCCATACCTGTAGCACAGGGCTGTTGTCAAAGTTATAGGCACTGGGACGGCCCTCCAGCGTTGAGAACGCCACGTTGCCCCCCGTGAGAGGGGAGATGTCACTGAACTCATCCGTGCAGAGCGCCTGCTGCTCATCCTCCCCAGTCCGAATAAAGCCACGGTTGACTTTGTGATACGTGCTCTCACAGGAGCCGCTGTAATACTGGTAGGGCACCCATGGGCCGTCTTCCCTGGTGCGTTTGTAGATTGCAAAGCTCTCCGGCCGACTGGTATGAAACTTTAGGCGCACATATGTGATGTCAAAGGCCTTTCCTATGGATGAGAGAAGACAGACATGAGAAAGACTCAAGCTTAAACCAAAACGAATGGCAAGAGCTGCACTGCAGTTGTCCCTTTAGAAGAAACATGTCCTCTAGTACCATCCAGTAGGATAAGCAGTGTCCAGTAGCAACATAAGTATCTCCTCCAGTCCTATGTACTGCATCTCCTGGCAAACACGAGGTGAAGGCACTGAAGGCAGAAGTCAAGGGCAGGCTGAGTAGGTAGATAAACAGACCTACAGACTTCTGTGCAACCAAACACACACCTCAAGCTGCAGTTCTCTTCTGCAGACACCACCACCAGCGTCCTTACACACAAACTGTTTGTGGCTCTGATGTAACGTATCATCTGTTGGGGTACCTCAGGCCAGGTCCAAGTTAATCATGCCATTTGATAATATTTCTTCCAAATACACATAGAGGACAAACAGTATTAACCAGAGGGGTAAAAGTCATGCTGTAAAGCCTGTTTCGTACCTCTTCTTCCTCCCTAAATAGACAGTATCCCAAACTCTTTCTACTACTCATGAAGCCTCTCCTCCAGCAGTGAACACCCTCTGCTACTCAGTCCCTGGGAAAGACAAAACAAGGTTTAAGCTTCCCAGACCATATGATCAAAGCTGTCAAGATGCTCTTCAGATCAAATTGCAATGATTTACAAGCTAGCCATGTTCTCCCTCTCTTAGGAGGATAAATGTAGACCCACCTCCCCGCCCTCTATTAATCTCCTAACAGGTCTGTGGCAATCAGCAGATCACCCTCCCTCGTGGTTTCTTCTCCAGTGACTTGGGCATCTACTCCCCTGCACATAAACCGACTGCCCAGGGGATTCACACCCCTGAGAAAACTCACTGGTGGAAAAGGACCAGTGGAAAAGGATGGAAGCACACTTCAGCCACCTTCCTCCGCTGTCCCAGGGGCACATTCCCAGGAGGAGGCATACAGCTGCACGCCGGCTGTTCCTGCTCCACCTCAGCAAGCAGACAGCGTACAATCAGGACACCCTGGTGCACGTAGGGAGCTTGCTAAAACAACGTGAGCTTTGTCTCGAACAAAACCTCGGTGTTCAGCCCCTGCAACACACTTCTACATTCCCACCACCTCCAAGAAAAACACTGCTCAAAGCATGGGTTGCAGCCATCACAGTACCTTCGCTGACAAAGAAAAAAAAAGCTACTAGAAGAGTTGCAACTGATTGAGAAACCAGTTTTCTCCGCCTGTAGAAGTCACGTGGATTTAATCTCAACTTGTAAAATGAATTAACTCCACCATGTTAAAATTTAACGTGAGGCTTTGCACCTGCTAAAGAGCGGCTCACTTCACAAGTCAAAGCAGACCAGACGGCACCAGGCAACAAGATCAGTGTGCCTCTCCGAGCACACATGCAAAACTCAGTTGGAACAGCCAGGTTCAAGTCATGAACCAAGCTTCTGGCTCATGGGCCACTCACCGCTCACAGCGGGACCAGCCTGCATGAGGCACATCGTGCCCAGTGCCCAGCCGGTGCAAGGAAGGAACCTGTCTGTGTCCCTTCTGGCTGCTGGAAACACCACAGTAGCAGGAGAAGCACAGCAAAGTATGTAGAAATCAACACACCAGGAATAAAAATCAAGTAAAAATCAAGACATATACCACCCAAAAAAACTTCCACCTACATGTCCCAAGCATGAAAAAACACTAATCTTGTGTTTAAAGCCAAAGAAAACTGCCGATACCTCAAGCTACCAAAAAGTCCTATCTGCTTGTGACATGCAAGACAGCTGGGGCATTGTACAGATACAAACCCCCCCACACCTCCCACAAAATACCCTTTCCTATTTATATCACGTGTGAGGTTAGGGATGACCTAAGCACAAGACTGCAATCCAGACATTCACAGTCTGTGGTTCTTGCTCAGTACTAGCTCACTGTTGGTTTGGGGTCAAGTTATTTAATGAGATCTTACACACAGAAGCCAAGTGAGAAGCAATCCCACTGGTAATGTCAAACTGCTTCCACAAGGGCAGAAACCCCAAAGGATCAACAACGTAACGCAGCTTAGGCTTACTCTCCCCTTGCTGCCCACTACAAGACATGATCAATACCATTCCCGTTTATTTCAAGGTATTTTTCATATGAATCTCAATGCAAGGCAAGTAGTAGACATCACACGTACAGATCAGTTCCCCACAGGTTTCCCATTGCTCCCGCTACACGGTCTCTTCCTGGGAAGAGAGCTCCTCACTGAAGGCAAAGCGTGCTCCAGGGGCGAGGAGCATGCACATGCAGCTGAAGGTGAGCCCACCGGGCACAGGCCAACAGGCCCTTCTCAGGGCCACAGTAAACAAACTCAGGACACACTCCTCACCTTTTCCAGATAAAGGCCAGGGGCCCCAGAAGCAAACAACTACTCATTATTCTGCAGGAAGACCCTAGTATACGGGTTGACATGCGACTTGCCAGTTTGAGAACTTCACCAACACCTTGGATGGGCAGCAACTAAAGAACAGACCTACTGTCATGGTTTTATTGCTAGTAAAACTGCCTTCATCAGCTTCATGAGCAAGTTTTCTTTGCGCTAGCACACTGAAGTACAACAAAACATGAGGCTAAAAGTCACAGTGCCGATGAGATTTCTTTGCGTAATTTTTATCACCAGTGAAAATAGCAAAGATGCCAGGCAAGAGCAGCCATTCCATGAGTCACGAGGGGAAAAAAGGGCCAGAGCCAAGAGCATGAAGATCATTCAATTAAATTGCGTCAACTGAATTGTCAAGAATACCCTGCTACTTTGACTCAGGTTAGTTTTCTTCTACTGGTACTGCATTCCTCCAGTGTGAAGCAAAAGCCCTGCGTTCGGGCTTCATCAAGATGATTTCGGGGAGGAAACACTTAGAAAGAATCCTGGGAATGAAGAGGGGGCCGGGCGTGTGCTCTCGCTCCACAAACACACCACTTTCTGCTCTAGCAGAAAGGCTAGGTCACAGCCTGCATGTCCTGAAAAAGAACTATTTGTTTTCCTCTCCACTATAGCTGGATTATGGTCCCTGTTCCCCAACAAGGTCTCCTACAGCTCCTCACAAAACATGCAACTCTGCTAAAGGCACAACACGTGCAAACTGCGCTCTGCGCAGCGTGAAAACATTTTCCATAGAAATCCCTTGTGCTAAATGAAAAAGACCCTCCCTTTTTCGTCTTCAGTTTTACACGGCAGGCCAAAGAAAACGCATTCAGAACCCTCCCGGCTGAGCAATCCAGGTGAAAAGACACTCACTTCAGCTGGCAGTGTGACTACTTGAGAAATCCTGTTAATGGCATGAAAGAGGAATGCAGTTAATGCACGCGGAGCGGCCGCGCGCTAGCGCCGTATCAGCTTGCCGTGGGTAAACACTGCGGGAACAATGGAGCGTACCCAAGACCAGCTGACACAGTGTTCAAACACGTCCCCCCCCTCCCCGGTCCTACTGAATGTAGAAGCTGTGCTTAGCAGCCTGGCAGCTAAGCAGGGCTCTTCAGGGTTGCAGAGCCTTTTGCTAGCAAAGATAAGCTGCCCAGGTCGCTTTTGAAGTCTTACGGGGGCTACATAATTATATATACTGCTATTACACTGAGAAATAGTGACGGCAATAACCAGGTGAAAGGCAGTTTTAAACATTTCATTTGGAAGACAAAAAGTCATTGTTCTCCTGTTCCTAGAAACTACTCATTATTTCGATTCTCAGTTCAACTTAGAAGTGTCCGATAGTCTCAAGTATCGGATAATATTTCCCTGTGCGTACTGAGAAGTGGCAAATCTATTCTGCAGGAAGAATTCCAGTGATTTGTTACAGAAGTTCATTAGCAGCAAGCAGACGTGTGGTAATTGGTGGCCACGAGCTCAGCACTTCCAAAGTGCAACCTGACCCGTCTTTAAAGCATCCAGAGCTCAAAATCACCATCCCCGCATTTTCAAACTGCATCTTTTCTGAGGCATGAAGCTGTTCACCAGCAAGTGACCAGGTGCCAAAATAAGCAGCCACTTTTGAGAATTCCGGCTGACATAGAAAACCCCGTTGTATCTTTCTGTAAAGTAAGCAAGTGCATGTATAAGCCTTCAAGACAGTACTGCAGTTACAGATGCAAACAACCAAGCGAGTCTGGGTGCCTGCCGAGGCAGGTGGCACTGGAAGCGTTCCGCGTTGGTCGATGCAGGGGACGCTTCCCTCAACAATCTGCTCACATTGTCGGGCTGACCACAGCTGCCAGATGTCATCAGCAATTAAAGCCCTTCCTCAGCAGGGTTATCGCCCAACTCTGTGTCCCAAGGTCCACCAGGAAACAGGCCATGCTGAAATCCATAAAGATAGACTGGAAAAACCTAAGTAAATGCTATTTAGATCTTTAGAAGCTCCTCCCTTTCCCCCCAAGTGAGGAATTCGTCCTTACACACAAAAGGCCTCCTTGTATTCAGACCCTTCAGAACGGATGGATAATTTACATCAGGAAAACGTCCCGCCAGCTGGCACGCCAACTACAAGCACCGAATTGTGAGCAGATGCCTGGATGAGATAAGTCCAGACGACCCTCGCCTCCTCCATTATCAGTCCACCCACATCCCCTGCACGCAGGAAAAAGCCATGCTACTACTTCGGCACTCTCTGTGATCCCTTGGTGCATCCTCCCAGCAGAGAACTCTAAAATACAGCTGCTGAGTTTTAGCACCCAGGGAAAAAAAAAAAAATCCACCCGAGAAGATTGTATTGGGCAAAGAACCAAGCCTTTGAAGATTTGTTTTCAGCAAGATTCACTGAGCAGTAATGAAATGGTTAAACTTTGCTCTCTTTCTCTTCTGGTGGGCTCCTGTTTCAAGGCAGCTTTTTTCACACAGGTACCTGCTGACAACATATTTCTAAGGTCAAAAGAACTGAAAACAAAACAGTAAAACCACCCAGCATATTTATTAATTTTTATTTTATTTCATTTTGATTTTGCAGTGACACGACAGAGATCAAGCAACCATCACTGGCATTTCTTTTTACTCTTATCTCACCTGTTTTCCCATCATTCCCAGGAGGAAAGGCCAGCTTTCCCAGTTTACTGGACTGGAACATGCCCCAGACTGTTTGCCCATCTTGTTCTTACTCCTTACCTCAACTCGACCTTTCTTGAACCATCAAATCTCTCCACCACCAAGCGCAATGCTAGACCAGCTACAAGCAGACAGACTTACTCTGCAGCTTCAGGACATAAATGCCAATCTGCTCCTCTCTGACAAATAAAGAGCTCCCGGACATAGCAGGAGGCAGCACCCTCCACTCCTGCACTACCACCATGTGCAAAGGGTAGCACAGATACTGACACCTCACACGAGTAGCAAATTGCAAGGGACGGAAACGTTGATGTCAGTAGACAGAGGTCAGCAAGTTCACAAGATCTTGTTCAAGACTGATCAGTGCTTCTTGTGTCACCCACCACTCCAAGTTCTCAGCTACTGCAGTATTTTGTTCAGCCTCCCATGCTAGAAACCCTCCTGGAGACTTCCCTCCTGAAGCACAGGGGCTGCAGAGGCGAGGGGAATAGTTATCCTATCCTGTGGAACAGGACAGCATTTTCCAGCGTGCTTATGGGCAACAAGAGTAGGACAGCGTCTATCAGGAGGGGAGGAGAGCGCAAAACATCCTGAGCAACTTGCTCTTCTGGAATAAAAAAGTGTTATTAAACAACAGTCCAACACCTGCAAGACACATAAGCAGTAAGTTATGTCGCTTGCATCACATGCACACAGAAAAAGCCAAACTTATGACAGAAAGCGAAAAATTATTGTAGTTCTAGAGCAAGCATCCTTCACAACTACACCCTAGCTTTCCTGGGAAAATTTGTGGAGGAGGAGGAGGAAGATGAGAGCACTGGTATTGCAAAAGCAAATGGAATCTCCAGCATCTGAAGAAAGAAAATGAAGGATTTCCACTTTCTGATGATCGTCACTGGGGAAATAACTCCATGCAGGAGCACAGATGACAGCTCTCTAATGCTGAGTGTTAGCCCTCATGGGAACACACACCAGTAATAATAAACCTTAGGTTTGTTTTCCTGTCCTCATCTAAAGAGCCTGGAGATTCAGGCATGTATGTCATGAACAAGAAATGCCTGAAGGATTTTAACACAATCATAAACCACGCTCCACCAAACCAAAGGTTTTGGCATGCAGAGCTCCACCACATTCAGGTGTCTGGGTTTTAGGAAAGCCCAACAGCGATATACACACAGGTTGCTTTTTCTGGGCGCCCGTACTAAGATGGGGACAGAGGAAGGAAATGGCTTTGGGACGCTGGGGGAACGAGCACATCTCTGAGCACGCTGGAATGAAGGCGAACTCCCACCACCCCATTAGATCATGCATTCTTCCAGCGCTCCTGAACAAAGGCACCATTGACTTGTGTGCGTGGGCGGCTCTGGACAGCAAAAGGCTGCCCAGTAAATAATTGCATGATAATCCAACATTGATAAGTCATCGAGGCTCCTTGTT